GTTATAATAAAAATATTAATTATTAATAAAATCGAATTAAAAATAAATATATAATTAATATTAATTAATATTAATGCAAGTATTATATAACTATGTAAATTACATGTAAAGTTACATGATACAATCATACACAACCGGTATTACATTTACAGTATGTTATGCACAAGTTATCACGTCCGCCACAAAACCTGTATTCATTTATTTATTTATAAATGTGTTTATTTATGATAATATAAAACGAGTTAAAATGGGTTTTATTTTAAATATTTATATTAGAAATAAACATTATATGTGAAAATTACATATTATTATAGTTTTTAAAAATACTGTACATCGCACTTATTATCGCATTTATTATAAATAATCTCAAAACATTACAACTCATAAACAGTTATTCATTAAATATGATATAATTATAACGTTATATTATAATTATTTTACTATTTTATTATTATTTTACATTATTTTATTAATAATGTCTGAGATTTTAAATAAGTTTGAAATTTCTGCTAAAATTCCTCAGAATTTTAAACAAGACATCAAATTATTTTATGTTTTTGACGACAAAACCGGAAAAAACATATTATTTGTGACAACTGATGGTCGGGTCTATGGGTTGGGCAGTAATAGTGAGGGAGTGTTGGGTTTGGGACACAACCGACCCATACATACACCCGTAGAAGTGGACGGATTAAGTAATCAAAATATACAACAGTTTTATTCAGGAGAAGGTATGTAAATATACTAATGTTTATGATGTATAAATTACAATTTTTACCTGCTGAATTGCTTTTACTATTAAAATATATAAATTTATTTAGATTTTTTGCTGGCCTTAAATAGTAATCAACAAATATTCAGTTGCGGTCGAAATACATCACGTGTTAAAAACAATTATAATAAACCCCACAACATATCATTATGTAATTCAAATGATATACGTATTGAGAAAATATCATGTTTTAAATACACAACTATTGCTCTGACATCCGATGGACGGGTATTTCAATGGGTCTACCATTCAATGGAAACGCAAACACCAATTGAAATACAATTTCCAGTTTTAAAATTTAAATACAAAATTGTAGACATTTTACGCTCAGATGAGCTGTCATTTGCCATTATATCCAATGGAGAAGTGTTTATGTGGGGCCAAACAAAATCACCACAATTAATGTCAAACATCTATAACATTGTCAAAATATGTGCGTTAAGTGATTATGAATTAGTTATGCTATCGAGTGATAAACAAGTGTATGTGTATAATATTTTTGTTCAGAAAATGATTAGGATTAGCAATATGTTGATTAATGACATTGCTCAAATTAACTTATATAATAAAAACATTATCATTGGGAAGAGTAATGAAAATGTTTATCAAAATATAATTACTGAATGTAAGAAAACTGAATGCAAAACATTTGATGAATTCTGTGTCAAAGAATACCAATTGACTTATCAAACCATTGATAACAATAAATATGATAATTGTAAGACAATTGACCAAATACAACATAATGGTAAGAAAATGCACCATGATTACATTTATGACAATCTTCTATATTTCAGTATCCGATCGCCAAACAAATGCTATAATAAACTATGAAATACTGGAAAAGATAGGAAAGGGAGGCATTGGAAAGGTGTTAAAAGTGAGGGATAAAAAGTCGCTTCAAATATATGCCATTAAGAAATGCAAATTATATGGTAATTATATATTTATTATGTTATGATGTATTTTAATTGTATAATAATTTCTATTAAGGTTTAACTGATAGACAGAAACAATACATTTTGACCGAAATTCAAAACATGATAAAATTGCGCTCAGATTCTCAGTTTTTGTATGTCATTCAATACTACGATTCGTGGATTGAAAATAAATTTTTATACATTCTTATGGATTGTTTGGCCGGAAATCTAACACAACTTTTGGGAAACAAAAAGCGATTGTTTTCGCGTAGAAATACTCACATAATGAGTGAATTTGAATATTTTATATCATATGAAATATTCAAACAATTGGTCGAAAGTGTGGAGTATTTGCATAACAATCATATCATTCACAGAGACCTCAAACCCGATAATGTGTTAATTTCTAACAATAATGAGATAAATCAAAAATATATAAAATTATCTGACTTTGGTTTGTCTAAAGACGTGGACGTATTGAAAAGTGACCACATGGTAAATCACCAGAAAATGACCAAGGGACAAAGTAGTTTTAAACACACCAAAGCCTTAGAACACAATTTTATGGCACCTGAAGGACAGACCACTGAATACAACCATTTAATAGATGTCTATAGTCTGGCACTCATTGGGGCACAAATTTTTGGCTTTGATTCCGACGATATCAGAGACGGGATGTATGTTATTATATAAACTCATATAAATAAATGTGAATAACTTTTATATAAACTTTTATTTTTTAGATTGGATTTCGGTTTAAAAGATAATAATAATATTAATCTTAAAAATAAATTGTCAGAAATATACGGATTATTGCAATCAATGAGTGTTAGTGTGTATACAAAGAGTTATGGAAATATTCATTGGAGTGAAAGACCCGAATGTGACGTAATTTTAGACAAATTAAAGCATTTAACTATTGAACCGATTCTTGAGAAAAATGAATTATTGTTTAATAATATCAGCGAAAATAAATTCACAATCTTTTATGAATACTTTCGCATTTTTCATAAGATATGTGTTATAAACAAAACACATGATAAAAATAATGGTAAATAATTTTTTAAAAATTTTATATGAATATTACATTGAAAATTAAAGTTTAACTATTATAGAAATCACCCAGGCTGTTAAATCGTACGAAAAACAGCTGGATGAATTGGATAATGTGTCAAATTTTAAACATTTTTATAAAGTAGAGAATATTTTAACCAACAAGAACTATTATATTAGCAAATCTAAACAAAATTGTAAGTTTTACATAATTACAATGTTACAATTTAATTTTAACTATAATTAATAATTGAAAATAAAATTAATTACTTAAAAACTAATTACAATAATAGATAACGAAGATATTAAACAAATTGTGACAAATATTAAGAAAATAATTGCATTAAAACCTCAATATTTACTTCAATACTACAACTCTTGGATTGAAAACAATGAGATTTACATTGAAATGGAGTTTTGTCCGCAAACTCTATGGAATATCATAATTGAAAAACATGTAATCTCTGGGATAAAAACCGATCACTCGTTAGCAATCATTTCAATTGATTTCCTTATTTCGGAGGAATTGTTGAGACAATTATTACATTGTATTAAAGAATTGATTGATTTAAATATAAATCTAACTAATATATCATTTGATGCAAAAAATATATTCATAACAAAAGAATATCTCATGAAATTATACTGTAATGACTATAAAAATGTAGAAAGTACATGCACATTTTTAAATGACACAACATTGTATAAAGTGGGAAAAATTGCCAACAATTTATTTGAAATCCAACTAACACATATTAAGTATAAATAATTATTTAGTATATTATTATTTAAAGTTATAATAATTATTGATTTATAACTATTAGAAACGATGATTACAAGTCACATATCTTAAATTTTTATGGTGTAAATTTGGATCAAATTCAAGCATTCATTAATGAATTAGTTAAGACATTAAACGGAAGAACAAGAGATATAAAGGATATAATAAATGAATTCAACACTATTTTTGATACAAATCATAAAGAAATAAACGCTAATTCAAACTTAGAAATAAAGCAACAAACAAAGTAATAAATAAATAATTAAGTAAATTATAATTAAATAATTTATTATATTATACAGAACTGCACTGACAATTGATCTACCGGTAAAACTAGATGAAAATAGTGGCGAATCTAGTAAGGCGAAACAATATATTGGTAAATAATTTATGATGTGTATTAACATGTATATTTTTTATTTTTAAATAATCAATAAATTAAAATCTACATCTAGAGCCTGAAACTAAAATAAAAAACATCGAGATGTTTGACATATTGGAAATGTTAGGTTCCGGCAGTTTTGCAAACGTCTTTAAAGTGAGGGCCAAACAAAACGGACGCAAATATGCTATTAAAAAATTATCATTAAATGACAGTAAAATTTTTAATTATTCTTAATCATTAATAACTCTTTAATCATTAAATATATCTGATTATATTATTTTAAGGTTTGACTGAAAAACAGAAACAGTATATTTTTAACCAAACAAAAATCTTGATAAAATTGCGCTCAGAATATGTAATTCAATATTACTATTCGTGGATTCAATACAACTCTTTATACATTCTTATGGATTGTTTGGCCGGAAATTTAACACAACTTCTAGAAAATAAAAAACAATTATTTGGAGAAATAATGACTGAATTTGAATATTATATATCATATGAAATATTCAAACAATTGGTGGAAAGTGTGGAGTATTTGCATAAAAATAATATCATTCACAGAGACNAAACAATTGGTGGAAAGTGTGGAGTATTTGCATAAAAATAATATCATTCACAGAGACCTCAAACCCGATAATGTGTTGATTTCTAATACTTATGACACAAATCATCAATTTATAAAGTTATGTGATTTTATATTGTCCAAAGAAATTGATACAGGAATTGATCATGATCAACATGAAAGTGGTCGAAATACTCCAGATATAGGCGATCTTCAGTATATGGCACCTGAAGGACAGACCACTGAATACAACCATTTAATAGATGTTTATAGTCTGGCACTCATTGGGGCACAAATTTTTGGTTTACATACAAGAGATATTGAAAACGGAAAGTATGTTATTATAGAAATACATTCATTTCAAAAATTAATTTCAATAATTATATTTTTAGATTGGATTCTAATTTGCAAACTAATACTTCAATTATGAAAAATGAATTAATAAAAATAAATCAATTATTGGTTGAAATGAGTGCTAATAAGTGGTCAATGAATGGTTCGACTGATTGGAGACAAAGACCTGAATGTGTAGTAATTTTAGATAAATTAGAAAATTTATCGATTGAACCGATTGTCGAAAAACATTATAAATTAGTTAAAAATATTGTTAAAAATCAATTTACATTGTATTTGTATTATGCACTTAAATTCCATGAGATTTGTGTCATTTGTGAAACAAATTATGATAATAATGGTAAAGCAAATTAAGATCTTGTTGGTATTATTAACTATTAACTATTAATTAATGTTTGACAATTATAGAAAACGTTAACGCTTTTCAATGCTATAAAAATGAAATTTATCATTGTAATCATGGTAAATTGGTTAAAGTGCAAAACAATATAAACGGCAAATTATATTTTTTAACGACATTCACACCATATGGTAACTATCAGTATATTATTATTCTTTATAATACATAAAAGTTCTAGTTCTAGTTTTGCGAAATGCTGGATACATTGTTATTATATATATGATTGAGTCCGGATAAATATATGATTGAGTCTGTAATTTATTGTATAATTATATAGTAATATACGTATTTTATAAAATTAAACGTAATATATTTATATAACTTTTAATTTATAGATGATTATTCCATCCGAGAAGTAATAAATATTTCAAAAATATTTCAAGTAAAACCTCAATATTTGCTTCAATACTACAACTGTTGGATTGAAAACAATGAGATTTACATTGAAATGGAGTTTTGTTCACAAACTCTATGGGATGTCATAAATGCAAAACACGTGATATTTGGGACACAAACCTATCACTCGTTGGCAATGATTTCAATTGATTTCCTTATTTCACAGCAATTGTTGAGACAATTATTACATTGTATTCAAGAATTAATTAATTTGGATATAAATATTTCAAACATATCACTTGAATCGCAACAGATCTTCATAATTAATGATAATATATTACATCAAAATCATATGAAATTATACCACTATGATCATAAAACTCGTTGCGCGCTTTCAAGTATTTTAACCAATTATGAAATAAATTATATCGGAAGAATTGCAAACGAATTATTCAAAATACAATTAGAATATATTAAGTATAAATATTACTATTAATATTTGAACATAATAATTATATTTTAATACCTTTTTCATTAATTATAGATCCGTAAAAGTCCTTAGAAATGATAACAAAGACATAGATTACAAGGCATTTATTTTGGAGAATTTCGGTATAAATGCTCACAAAATCGTGGCATTTATTAATGGATTACTCGAGACATCAAAAGAGAGAACACGAGATATAAAGAATATAATGATTGAATTCAATGATATTTTTGGTGAAAATCCAAACCAAATAAACGATATTTTAATCTCACGAATAAAAAGTGCAATTCTGCGGGAATTCCAGATATACGACACAAAGGAAATTAACTATAAATCTATTGTTAATTACACTCAAGAAATTATTAAACTACAAAATCGGTACTGAATTTGTTTATAAAACATCTATTTTACATCAAAATTATATATTTTGTAATAGATTTACACAAACTATTGATTCTGAAGGCGAACTACCGGTAATGACACAGAAAATAACGAGCAGTGAAAACACTGATAAACAGTTAAAACATTCTGTAAGAAACAATTGTTGCTCATAAAAATTACTATTAAGTAAATTTTTACATACATTGTTATAATTTTTACTTGCATTTAATTTACGACAGTTACTGTATAATAAATGACATATAAACTAATTAACAAAATTACTATTATTAGAATTTAATTGATAATTTGCCAACAATCATGGCTCTGATGGACCTGGACCCTGAGAGCCCCCTTATGGTGTATAACACGGCATTTAATGAATTCTTCGAACAAGTTGAATTAAACGACCAATTTATAAATTTACTGCGTGATCATCCATGCGCTTATTTACTGCCAAGTTTGGAGGTTCGTTTCTAGCTCAAATATAAATATTATTATAATTTAAAATAAATATTCCATATACTCTTTAAAACAGCATATCCCGAATGATACGGCTAAAAAATGCCGGATTTTAACCGAGTTCACTTTCGGTCAAGACCACGCCTACAAACTGGCCGACGCGTTGGAAATGTCAGCCCAAACGAGGGCCGCCGATCAATTGCGCCAGTTCAATTCAGCGGAAACACCATGGTTAAACTCTTATGAAGTATACATGAATGTGACACCCGCTCAAACACTTCGGTCCGGCGGGTCTCATTTGTACCAAATGGACGCCCGACCCCGTGGTGTAGCCATAATATTTGTTACCAACACCGACCTGTATAACGAGGCCGAACGATTCAGGTCAATTTTTGAACAGTTGCTATTTGACTCTGTTGTGCATGTGCAATTGACCCGGGACCAAATTATGGATAGACTTAGCGAGGTGTCCGACTCACCTGAAAAATATCATGGCGATGCCTTTGTTATGATGTTCATCGGCCCCGGATATAACGAAAATATCATCGGGTGGTCTGCGCAGCCGCAGTGGCCGCCGGCATCGGCCGATGTTATGCCCATCAGTGATATAATGGACATGTTTTCCGAAACCCGGTGCAGTCGCTTGCGCCTAAAGCTCAAGTTGTTTATATTCAACTGTTGCCGTCAAAGTATGTTTACATTATTATTCCAATTAAATTAATATTGTAATAAAAAATTACATTTATTATTATTGTTCTGTTAATGTGTTATGGTACATTAGAATTCTCCGATGCAACCTCAGTGCCCACAACCACAACGGCCCCCAATCTTAATATGCGGTGTTCAAAATGTTTTGGTCAGTTACCTTGTTCAAAGCACGAATCCGCACAAAGTGACACTATGGTCAGTTTGATGAGCACGTGGAAAAGTGTGTGCCTACGATTTGTAATAATTTACGCGTGTGCTGATGGTAATATCACGTGATTTTTAAAAATCCAATTATTATATTATAATATATAAATTTATTTTATTATGTGTAATGCATTTTGTTTGGTTATAATAATATTCATTGAAATGCTTTTATAATCAAACAATTTCACTAGGGTTAGAAGGCTGGTACCAGGAATTCCCGGGCACTCCCATCGGTCACGTAAGTGAATTCGGTCAGGCGTTCAGTCATACCATAGCGCAGTACTCGTGGTATAAAAACCTCAATCAACTCTTTGTTATTGTTAGTGTTTTACGTAATTTGCATATTATATAAATAATAAATTGTATTTTATAGAACGTTAAACGTATGGAAGAAAATTTGGCGAGAATGGGAGAGTCCGAGCGCCGTCCGGAAATCAACATATTTGCAGGGGATAGAGGGATTTATTTTAACCCTGGTCTATGGAAAGAGTAGCGTTACCAAACATACAGGAATTAGGGAATTTTGCAGAGTACAGGAAGGGGTAATTTGTGTACATTTAAAAATAAAGAGTATATATTTTAAGAATGAGCTGTAAATTAAGTAATTTTGATAAACTTTTGATAAACATATTGTCTTAACATGTTGCTAAATATTATATTTGATTAATAATTTGTGAATGATTAATAATGTTTAATGTATAAAAACTTTATAATACTCTTGTTATTTTTAAATTGTTTTATATTTAATGAGGGGTTTTAGTTCAACTTTTTTATTTTACATTAATGAACGAATTCAATACTAATTTTGTATTAATAATGAGTGCGAAAAACCTCTTTCAACACAAATTCCATTAAAAAGATATTTAAGGAAAAATAATTTGTAATACAGGAAAATAGAGGAATTTTAGGCAAATTTTATGCATATATTCAATATACAGGATTTTCAAAATAGCATTTTGTAACGCTAGGAAAGAGGTAGATTAGCATTAACTAAAAGGTATCAACTAAGCTAAACAATAATTGTGTGTTAAATACGTGGTAATTAACAAAAACTAACATTAATGCTATAATAGTGTTTTAACTAGTCTTCTAATAAATAAATAGCAATTGTATACTATTTTAAATAATTATATGTCGTTTAAAATCAAAATGTAAAACATAACCATTTTAAACTACATATAAAATTATGCGTTTAATCTTATTTTGGACAGCATGTATATTTAACTATTTTATAACGTATTTTTAATTATTTGTTTCACGTGAATTAACACCAACATACTGATTATAATAAAATAATGTTCCTTAAACATTTTAAATCATGATCACAAGTGGTCGCCTCTATACCCGAGTCATACAAATCAATACACAATACAATGCCATATGTTTTACAATTCTTGCGCCCCTTATATGTAGGGTGACCAACTCGAAATTTTCAAAACCGGGACATTTCATAAAAATTATAGAAAATTCCGGGACATTACAGGATATTTCATAATTTACTAAGGTATTTTTTAAATAAATCGAATTTTCCCCGGGACACTCAATGGTATCTGTAAAAACCCCGCCGGGACAAAATGGTCAAAACAGGGACTGTCCCGGTCAAACCGGGACGGTTGGTCACCCTACTTATATGTAATACCAATAATATTGTAATTGTTATCATTGAATGTCTGTTGAATTAAATGATATGAAATTTAATCCTTAAGTTTGACATTAATTACAAGTTTTGAGTTTAATTATTATTTTATAAATCACTGCTTTTATTGTATCGATTGATAAATTTTTGGGTAATTAAGCCTAATGTTAACGATTCTGTGTTATATCTAGATATCTGGATATATATTCCGGGCAACAGTTGTTGTGACTTATCATCTGTTTTCTCGCCGATCAATAATATTGACAAAACTTTAACTACTTTTTTGTCAACAATTTTTTGTTTAAATAAATTATGAAAATTTTTGTTGTTTTTTCGTTACATTAAATGTTTGTCTCTTTTCCGGCGTTCATCTGCTCTGAGATTAATATATTATTTATTAAATAATTTGTTTTAGAAATAGTTTTTGAATTATTTGACAAATTCTGTTGTTTTCATATAAATAATATAATACTTGTTATTTTTATATAATTAAAAATTTTTGTAATTAAAATATTATTAAAATTTTTATATTTAATGATATTTTGTTAATCAACAAAATATTCTGTTTCTGATAAACAATAATTAAAATTTTTATGTACAATTTAAAACTTGTAATCAATTACATTATATTTGATAAGTTCATTTAATTCTGGGCTTTTGCAGTAGATTAAGTGTATAATAAAAACATAAATAATTATATCTACTTTTTAATCACAATATTTTATATAAAAATATTATTCATTTTTATTTTTTACAATTTATTTTTATTTTAAATTTAAAAATATAATAACATTTAATCCATTATTAAAATGACTTTTTACCATCTCTCTCTCTCTCTCTCTCTCTCTCGTCAGTAATACTGGCCATAAATTAATGTCACAAAACATACAAATATAATACAAAACTTACATTAATGTAACAATTTTTTTATAACCAAAAATTTATTATTTCATTTGAATCGGGAATAAGACTATAAAAAATGAAACTAAAATTTACGACAAAAAATTACAAATCGTTTTCTTGACTTATATTTTACATCAAAAATAAACGCACAAAATATATAACAAAACATATTTTTCTTTATTATTAATACTTTAAAAAGTAATAAAACGTTTCGTTTGGAAACACAATGAAAACCACAAAATATTCTTTATATCATTTTAATGAATACTCCACTCATTTCATGCATTATATAAAATGCAAAATATATTACATTTATGATTTTGCAGTACCCCTTAAACCCCACCCCTCTTTATATTACATACCTAAACACCGATTGTCTCACTCTTTACGCCATACAAAAAATCTTATAATACTTTTGGGAAATTATTATACGAGTTAATTAAACTCAGAGAGAGAGAGAGAGAGAGAGAGAGAGAGATCCACGAAAATCGTTGCTCTCTCTCTCTCTCTCAAAATACAATGATAACAATCTGTGCCATCGATTGAGTCCATTGTAATCGTGAATTGCATTTGTTTTTACCCTATTCTCAATCACTAATAGTCTCTCTCTCTCTCTCTCTCTCTCTCTCACTTTCACGACTCCGAGCGAGTCGTCCAACAGCTTCTCCTGTTGTTCTTCGGTAGGGCTCGCCATCGGTGTCGTCCTCTCCAATGGCATTGTCTTCTTCGGCGGTATGTCTTCTTCTGGAGGTAATGGGAAACGATTGGTCGCAACAAAACAAACGGCGATTCAATTGAAACGATTGGTTTTGTCTGTCATTTGTTTACAACTCATTCAAAAACAATGACTGAATATTTAGAGGCGTTTTGAGTATTGATGTGTAAAATGTCTGACTTTTTCACTAACTTTTTGAACCAATTTTCTGGGGTTTTTGGCACTCTTTTGGGGCTTTTATTCACAAATAGATATTTTTCAATACATTTTTATTGGCATTTGTTTTGAACTCTTGTATTAATAATTACCATATGTTTCTGTTCGCATACAACGTTACGTCTGGCCCCGTGTTTGCAATACCCTTCGGTTTTAAACTAGTTTAATGTCCAACTATTTCATGTATAGATTGGTCTAAATTATTGATATGTATTTATTATGTAAATTCTTATAAGACTGCTATAATAAAAAATATGTTTTATAGTTTTAATATCGATAATTCAAGTATTGTTTTTCCTCCACTTTTGTCAATATTTGTAACGCTATTTGTTATGCAATAGATGTGGTATAAAAATCATAGACAAACACTTCACGCAAACAACATTACGCGCAGTGAAAGTGTGGGCGGAGTTGCGAACAACTATAACAAGTGGTATAAACGCATGCATTGGACAACAAAAGGGGGCAGAAATTGGGTATAAAAGTGAACACATCTTTCAATGACTGTGCGTTTGATATGTGAAAAGTTAAATAACAGAGTATTTTGTGGGACTGTATGAGAGATTGACTGCGAGAGGGCTGAGAGAGTGTTGAGGGAGTGTTGACCACACCATTGATACACAATGAGAGAGGGATAGGGAGTGCGAGTGCAGAGTGAAGGCTAATGGCTGGGAGAGGGATGCGAGAGAGGGAGAGATGGAGAGAGTGTTTGGGAGAGTGAGTGCTGTGGTGTGTGAGAGTGTGTGTTGTTTGTGAGTGTATTTAATAATTAAATACGAGTCGCCATTACTGTTATGATGGCATATATATAATACATGAGTGGAGTGTATATACGTATAGTTATATACATGTAATGATGTATACATACAATACAAGTGATACTATTTGGCGATTATATAACGAATTGGTGTTTTGTATTGTAGTGTTTGATGGCATTTAAGGGACACTTGTATTGGCACACAAAGTGTTGTGTAAAGTATTGTGTCTGTGGTGTGAATGCAATCGCCGTTCACTCCATACAAACTGATGACAAATGAATAGTAAATCATGTTTTGGACACCAATTGAGCCCATGTTTTGATGAAGAATTGCCATTCAATTGATTGCATGGTTTGATGTATACATTGTGTCCGCAATTACGCCAATCATTACCACAACAACACTATTACAGAGATATATATATATATAATGCCATTACATATGATGTGTAAAACAGTTTTATTAGTTTTATTCATATTGTAATTGTTTTTTAGTTTTTGAGTGTAATTTTAATTTAGTTTAACACTAATGATAGTTAATAATAATTACATAACAATTATATATACGTTATGTTGTAATGAGTTTATGAATTACGAGTGAATCCAATAGTGATAACCGAAGAGACGGACAATTCATTCAAAGAGTTTATAATTTAATTTAAAATATTTAATGAATTAATAGTGAAGTGATTGAGAGACCAATTATATGGTGATAATCGTTAAGAGACAATACGGTTCAGCCATGTATTCACTGCAACAAAGCGTCGACTTTTACAACTTCGAGAGCGACGACAACTACAAGAAGTGGAAGAAGACGTTCCTGACGTCGCTGGAGCTGATCCAACAGCGGGTCCACTCGGGTCTCACCGCCAAACAGGACGCTCTCCTCTATGTGGAGGGCCTTATTGACTCTGATAACAGCGTTAACTAATTGTTAGTTGCCTATTGACACAGCCTGCACCTCCTCTCTCACTCCGCTGACAAGGGCACAGGCGAGCTGTTCACCCGGTAGTTATTCCCTAACGAGACGTTGGCTGTGATGAAGAATCTGAAGAAACACAAGAGTCTGTCGGCCGATCAGATCCCGATCCGAATGCCGTTCGAACGGCTCCACCAAATGCTCCAGAAGGAGGTCTTCGGCCATAAAGTGGACATTCAGTGCACGCAATACATTGTTGTGATACTCGAGTACATCGCCGCCGACATCTTCCAGTTGGCCGGACATTACGTCAAGAATATCAGACACGACGTGATCACGTGTCAAGACATTAAGGTATTCAACCGGCGTTGTTGTCCGTGTGTTGTGATTGTTGTCAATCGGATCCACTCCTCTGTGTCTACATCTCTATTATGTGTGACAATTGTCTGAATGTGTGGTCTATATGTGTCCCGACTTTGATAGCAAATTAATTGTTAAATGTGTTAAATGCGAGACAATGTGATTAGATTTGTTGTAAAGTCGGTCCACGACTACCGATCCCTGACAATCATTACTTGTACCCACTCTTCGTCTAACTCTCGATAAACTATTTTTAGACAAATAATGGTTTTTATAGATAATTATGATGAGAAATGGTTAGGTTTAGCAGTACTTGTTATGTAACAGTAATTACTCATAAATGTTATGTTAGTGTATTGTGACAATACTGTCACTACTATTGTTTCAATTATATGTAATTTTACATTTAGTATTGTTTTAGTTGTGATTTATTGGTCGAACCGTACGTTTAGTTGAGATAGTGATCAGTAAAAGGATAAGACTGTCCGATAAGATAATTGTTGTCACAAATTGAGATCCGGTACTTCCAGTTGGCCGGACATTACGTCAAGAATATCAGACACGACGTGATCACGTGTCAAGACATTAAGGTATTCAACCGGCGTTGTTGTCCGTGTGTTGTGATTGTTGTCAATCGGATCCACTCCTCTCTGTGTCTACATCTCTATTATGTGTGACAATTGTCTGAATGTGTGGTCTATATGTGTCCCACTTTGATAGCAAATTAATTGTTAAATGTGTTAAATGCGAGACAATGTGATTAGATTTGTTGTAAAGTCGGTCCACAACTACCGATCCCTGACATTCATTACTCTTCGTCTAACTCTCGATAAACTATTTTTAGACAAATAATGGTTTTTATAGATAATTATGACAAGAAATGGTTAGGTTTAGCAGTACTTGTTATGTAACAGTAATTACTCATAAATGTTATGTTAGTGTATTGTGACAATTCTGTCACTACTATTGTTTCAAATATATTATTAAAATGTAAATCATAACAAAATCAACACTAAATAACCAGCTTGGCATGCAAATCAACTCTATCACTAGTCATTTTCCTATTCTGACAGGCTATTCTATTAACAACAGTGTTTAACTCTAGGCCATTTGCAATGACTGTTGTATTGTTGTGTTAAATGAATTGATAATAGGATTGACTGATTAGATGACTAACTGTGGTATTGTCTGTGTTTCAGGTGGCGATGTGTGCGGACAAAGTGCTGATGGATATGTTCTATCCGGACGACGACGTCTCGCTCAACAGTAATGTCAACGAAGACCTCTGCGAACAGAAACGGCGGACATCTGTGACGTACGACGAAGTGGTGAAGGATCTGATCCACGAAGAGAAACAATTCATTCGCGATTTGGATCTCATAATCAAAGTATTCCGCGACCCCTTCCGCAAACTATTGCCACCCAAAGAGTTGGACAAACTATTCTTCAACATCGACGACATCTACGACTTCAGCGTCAACTTCTTGGGCTCCATCGAAGACGCGCTGGAAGTGGCGGAGGATAGCTGTCCGCCGAGTATCGGCAGCTGTTTCGAAGAGTTGGCCGAATGCGCCGAATTCGATGTCTACGAACGGTATATACTGGACGTGAGCCAGACGTACGACGGCTCGCGGGTGTCCACAACGGGCGGCGGTGTCAACAGTCGCGGCAACGATAAGCTCCAGACGCTGTTGTCGGACCCGAACACCGCCGTAACGCTGAGTACGACGGGTCACGGCATGATTCCGGCCTTCAAATACGTGCTTCCGAAGCTACTCATAGGGCCGGTGTATCACTGCTTCTCCTACTTTAAGTACATCGATCTCTTCAAAGACCTGACCACCAGTGATGAGGACAAGGAGTCCTTCGAACAGGCGGAGGGACTGCTCGCCCCACTCAAGAACAACCTCGAGAGGGTCTGCAAACGCAACGCTAAGCCAGGTATGCGTCCCAACACAACAGTACTCTTGTTGTTGTCGTTATTATCTATTGTTTTGTTAATACTTTTTGATATTTAATTGATTTAATGAAATGCCAGGAATTGTTGGAATATTTGATTAATTGTTTTTATGCCTTTTATACATGAAATTGAGAGCAGACTTTACACTTGGATTACACTAATTTTGCTATCAATAAGTCTGGCGTTGCTTTTTTGGGTTGTTTTGTTTTTTAAACTGCGATTTTAATGTTTGTTTAAAGTCTGTGAATTCATATCAGAGACTAAACATTGTTTTACATTTTAAAGACATTTACATAGCGTTAGCCAAAACACGATTTAAAATAAAATAATATATGAATTGATATGAAATATCAAATATTGATAAATGGTATTAATTTTCAATTAATGCAAATTTCAATTGTTATTCCCATCAGATTATCAGACATGTGATGATTATGGGAATCAATTGGTTGCCAATTGCAAGCTTTTGGTGCCATAATTATACTGCAATTTGAGTTATTTTTCTAATTTGCATTTATTTTTAAATCGATCGCAAGCTTTGATTAAATTCTTTGTAGGGATTTGTTATCATATTCTTTGTGTTATTTATATTCTTGTTTTGTTGTTGTTTTTCGTGTTAAATAATTTGAGACTAAATAATTTTTCAGAGTAATTTGATTGCATATATAATTATGACTATTTTTGATCAAGAATTCAATGAATTTAGTGTTAAATATAACACCTCTTAAGTATAATGAGTGAAGAATTCTGACGAAATTTTCATTCAAATGCTTTGAATTTTTAAACAAATAGAAATATTTAGTGTTTTCTGGGAATTGAGAAGAATTTTCATATTTTACATCTTTTCTGTTAAATAAGTGTATGTTTTTATAAATACATTCTTAAGGAGATATACAGTATATATATTTATAAATGTGATGAGTATTTGGCTCATGGTATTAGATATCCGTTTATTAGATAATATAGATGTTTACTACATGATAAAAACATGGGGGTAGTTTTCCATTAGCTTTCTATTCCCTCTTATGTCTGATTTATCCCAATTCTCTATACACTCTGGAAATCTATTATAAGCTCTCAATTATATCTCGAAAAATGTATTTTAAATTTAATATATTTTTACGGTTTTTATTTTTAACGTTATTTTATGAAAGAAAAATTGTTTTAGAGAGAGAAGAGAGAGAGAGACAGAGGGGGTGTGAGTATGACTACTAATTACATAACGTTTCATTTGAATAATGAAGACCAGAATTCACAGCAAAATAGCTTAAAATTCATTAAAATTAAACACAAAACTTATGGACAAATCAAATGAAAGAGAGAGAGAGAGAGAGAGAGAGAGTATGAAGAGTGGACAGTGAATGACAATAGTATTGTATTGCTATATAATTGGTGTCTTGTCTATCCTGTATACAATTTATCAAGATATAAGTTTTAAAGTATAATAATCTCATCACAATATTTTAAATGTCATTAACCATTATGTAATATTCTGGTCGCAAATGATTGACATTAAAAAATATTGCTGTAAGAATTTTAATGACAATTGAAATGAGCATTTAAAATAGGCTTTTTATGCAAGCATTAAACCGCTTGACTTTTATATACACAGTATATAAATATATTTATTAGATATTAAATTCTAATACTATTATAATGCATAATAAATATTTGTCAAACGATTTGCTATAACGAGTGCAATGGGTATAAAAAGTTATTTTCCGAGAAAATGCTTTTTTGTTACTTGTATTCCAATGTAATTGTGATTAATATGATTACAATAGAGACAGAGAACGAAATTATATAATTATATTTATCCCAAATAACGCACATTTGTGACTAAATTTAGCTCATTTTAATCAATTAAAGTTAGCCTATCGTGACATCAATTGGTTTGGGATAACCAGTGTGTTGTAGATCTCTGTATGCCTTTACACCTTTTAAAGCCTATACATGTATAGCAGTTGATTTGCATTGAATTATTTAGTAAGTAACAGGTGTATAGAGTTATATAGTTGTATGTTTAATATGCATGTCATCAGACATGTCGGTACGCTTTTATGGTATCAATTGGGGTCCAATCCAATCGTTATCGTATAATAATCTGTTGTGTATTATCTATAGTTTAATTGGCATTACATAACTGATGTGCCGGCTCTTGGATACCCTCTCTCTTCGTTGACACTTGTTTTGTGTCACATTTTCTGCATAATTGTTGACTTCGTTTGATAAGTTCATAGACTGTTGTGTCCGCGCATTAAAAAGTGGTGTTTTGTTATCTATTTTTTAAATACCCAGAATTTTCTGGTCTATAGCTCTATAGCCGAGAGAGAGAGAGGGAGAGAGAGAGAGAGAGAGAGAGAGAGAGAGAGAGAGNCAACTCTATACTCAAGTGAACGGATAGTTGGAGACGACCGAGAGAGAGAGAGAGAGAGAGCATAAGAGCAGGTGCTATGGCGATGATGGCAATGGCAGCGGTGGTGATGGAGTGGTCGCTATTGAGAATACGATGCTTGGATGAGATGTGATATTTGTCGGTGTGTTTTATTGGACGGCAAACTTGTGATGCAATTGGAGTGCAGTTTCTCGTATATATAACACGGTATGCGAAGCCGTGTGTCTGTGCTGTTCTCTCTTATCGATCGATCCTTTTGCCATTTCTCTCTCTCTCTCTCTCTCTCTCTCTCTCTCTCGTCGGTCGTCTCCAACTATCCGTTCACTTGAGTATAGAGTTGGCAATGATATAGTTGTGCTCTTGTACTGTACTGTATTCATATGCAGTTCGTATGATACCTATGTTAGAAAACTACTGGTGCCGAACTAAAGAAATGGCTTCTACTGTGTTATCCAAAAATAAATATAAGAGAAAAAATAAATTCAAATTCAATATCAAAAATTATCTCTCATTCGTTAGAAGTAATTATGAAAAAACTAATTTATTTGTTGAAAGAATTGTTGTGAATGCCATCACTTGTGCCAAGTTTTTAGCGCCCTATGGATGCGGAGCTTATCATTTGATTGCTCCGAACAGATGTTTCGCTTTTTTGTCTCTTTCATTTGATTTGTCCATAAGTTTTGTGTTTAATTTTAATGAATTTTAAGCTATTTTGCTGTGAATTCTGGTCTATATTTTATGACATTCTTGTATTGTGTTGTAATTTATAATTTGATTTTGCAATTGTATTGTGCATTCAATGGAGGATTCGTTGCACAACTCCATCTCTCCCTCTTATCTTCCCACACATAAATCTCCATCACTTTATCCTATAATAGTTTTATAATACATTATATAGTAGTTATAAAACACTATTTTAATTTTATTGTTATCCTTATAATTGAATTATTGACTTATTGCACAGATTTTTATAATGAATTTAGAAAAGCTTTTGTAATAATTATTTTTATATTAATTCAATTTGTTGTCTAATTAAGTGGATATGAAGTTTTGATATCATTTGTTCACTCGATCACTGATAATGACATTTATGGGCAAAAGAGCGTCGAAAGTTATGCACTCCTGCTTTATAATGTTTTATTAATTTGTTGACCATTTTGTTATTCATTAAATCAATTAGAAATAACTATTTAATCATTATTTAATTAACATTTATAATTATACCAATTGTTTGATGAATGTAACCAATTGTGCATATATTTGTGATGACAGGTGAGGGATATCTGCGACTATACGGTCGTACGAATCGGGCGGCGGCGTTGACGAAGATGTCTGAATTGCAGCGATCCATCGATGGCTGGGAAGGCAAAGACATCAGTCAGTTCTGCAATGAGTTCGTAATGGACGGACCGCTGGGCAAACTGTCGGGCACTTCCACCCGCTCGGGCCGTATCACCGAACGCCACGTATTCCTATTCGACGGCCTAATGGTGTTGTGTAAGCCAAACAACAAGCGCTCGTCGATGACTGTGGCCGTCGGCGGTAATCCGCAGTGCGAGTGGCGGCTCAAAGAGAAATACTTAATCCGAAACATTGAGATTATCGATAGGGAAGACTATAGTAATGATACGGAGATTAACGGAACAAATTTTTACAATAATAACGGCTCGGGAGGCGGCGGTGGCGGCGGCACCGGTACTCACCATTTGCCCAAATACGCGTTCGAGATAGCACCTAGGTATGTTTGTTTTATAGTATACTCCCTCCCCTACCTTGGTTCTTTTTGTTTTGTGTTTGTTTTTTGCATTTAGATATTATTGCGATTATTTTTAGCATATTTTCCCGTGCTTTTATCGATTTGTGTGCGTTTTTTCTCGCTGTTTATTTAAAGCTTGTTTTTTCTCGATATAATGTTTGCTTTTAATGGTTTCCTTTTAAATTAATGCTATATTTTAAATGTATTTCTCGATATATTTTTCTATATATAGCTTATAAAATGCATTATAGGTTTACATGAAGGCAGCAAAACATTGTTTTGTTTTTATTTTATGACATCGCAAATGTTAGACATTTTATTTGAAAGCCCCCCTCCACCCCCTCCTCATCCCAACCCACCCCCTATTTGCATATTAAATAATGGATAATTTAAAGTGTGTTTCAATTTGTCTGATGTGTGATATTAATGGAGGAGTTTTTTACAAGAATATGTGTTTTAAATATAATAATGTGTTTTGTATTGAATGGTGTGAACAGAAATCAGGCGAGAATTATACTGTTCGCCAAAACGCTGGAGGAGAAGGCACTCTGGATGTCAAACCTTATACTTTTGAACACCCGGTCAATGCTTGAGAGGACACTGGACTCGATGCTCATCGACGAGGCGAAGAAGCATCCGTTGCGGTTGCCGTCGCCCGACGTCTACCGGTTCGCCGTCGAGGACTCGGACTCTAACATTATGTTTGAAGAAAACAAATCCAATTCTAACGTTCCACTCATTAAAGGTATGCATTCTTTGCTTTCAAAATGCTTTTTCAAATGTTTTCCAAAACTCATCTATAAATTAGTTTTTGTTGTTATTTTTTAAATATTTTTAAATTCTTGAAATATTTAGTATTTATTTTTCAGACTCTATATATCGATCGAGTTTTTGCATTTATTTTAAAATACCTTTTTATAAATACAGTAGTTTATTATAATTAATGTAAAATTAGACATTTTATGCTTAAATTATTCAAATGTTATTTCTGTTATATTTTTAGTTCAAGAAATATTTCTTAAGTTTTTATTGATTTTTGTTTTTCTTTTTTATATATTGTTTTTCTTTTATTAAGCTTTTATATTAAGTCTTTCTCTTATTGAAAGCATTTTTTACTTTCTTTCTCTCATTATTTGTATGTTTTCTCTCGAAAGAAGCATTCAATCCATTATTGATTTCGATATCTATTTATAACCACTCATTGATTATTAAGTGAACGTATGATTTCTACTATTGATTTGTATGTCTTCTTGTTTTTACTCTTGAAAACACATTCAAAAGCATTATTCAAATGAAACGTTATGTAATTAGTAGTCATACTCACACCCCCTCTGTCTCTCTCTCTCTTCTCCTCTCACTGTCACAACAGGTGCAACATTGTTGAAACTGGTGGAGCGGCTCACGTATCACATGTACGCCGACCCGATGTTTGTCCGCACATTTCTCACCACATATCGATCCTTCTGTACGCCGCAGACGCTCTTAGACCTACTGATCGAGCGCTTTGAGATACCGGAGCCCGAGTTTAATCATAACAACACCGCTATCACAAACACTGCACAACAAAACTCAAACCCACAACAACCGCAACAATACATGAACACCAATAGCGCCAATCAAAACGTTAATAACATTAACAATAACAATGACATACAGTATAACAACGGCGGCGGTAACGGTGGTGGCGGCGGCGGAGGAGTGGGCCTCAGCTGCTGTAACAACGCTGCGGTCGACGGCGGACCGCACTGTCAGCACATATACGAGAATTCGGAGATCCGTAACAATCACCGCGAGATTCTGAAGCGCTTCCGGAAGGAGTACTCACAACCCGTGCAGTTCCGTGTGTTGAATGTGTTGCGCCACTGGATAGACAACCACTACTACGACTTCGAGAGGGACGCCGGCCTTCTCGAGACGCTGAAGAAGTTTCTGGACGAAAAGGTGCGCACAAAGAAGAATATGCGGAAGTGGTGCGAGAATATTAAGAAAGTATTAGAGCGCAAGTCAGAGATGAGCGCCTGTGAGCCACAGATCACACACAGCTTCGAGAAGACCCCTCCAAACATCGAGTGGTGGCTCTCCAAAGACCCCCAGAAGTTTGATTTGCTTACCGTAAGCACCGGGTGTTATGTCTCTGTTGTGTGCTTTTTATTAATGTCTTGTCTTGTTTTCTTGCGGCCGCGCAATAGTTACACCCGATTGAGTTGGCCCGACAGCTGACACTACTGGAGTTTGATCTCTACCGAGCAGTCAAACCGTCCGAATTGGTGGGCACTGAAGGCCAGTCTGACCAGACCTGATTCTTTCTGTTCGTCTTCTGCAGTGGTTTAAACGACTTTTACTAAGTGGTGTGGAGGTTACATACGTGAGTAATCGTGTTGGAGACGGGAGGGAAACCTAAGTGAGAAAAATTGATTTATTGAATTGCATTTACAGTTCATATTCTGGTTGGAGAAGTGTATCGTCGAGACGCCAAACTTCGAGGAACGGGTGGCCGTCATGTCGCGCATCATTGAGATAATGATTGTCTTACAAGAGCTAAACAACTTCAACGGTGTGTTGGAAGTGATCTCCGCCATCGGGAGTGCGTGTGTCCACCGATTAGAGCACACAATGACACAAATTGAGAAGAATTCCAAACTCAAGAGAGCCCTCGAAGACGCACAGGAGCTCACAGTCGAGCACTTCAAACGGTGAGTGCTTTTTGTGGACAATTCATATGCGAATTGTATTGATTTGTCATTTGTTTTTGTCAATTTTCGACTGATTGGACGGACAGATATCACGAGAAGTTACGGTCCATAAACCCTCCGTGTGTCCCATTCTTCGGCATGTATTTGACAAACATATTGCATATAGAAGAGGGAAACCCCGAGTTTCTGGTCACTCCACAACTCAATCACTACGACTCCCAATCGACGCTCACCTCTATCTCGTCGGCGACCAGCGTTCAGACCACCAATACGTCGCTCCTGTCGTTGAGCTCCGGCGGCACCACCTGTTCGACGGCCACATTGCCATCCAATAGCAGTCTGACCGGTGGTGGCAGTAGTGGCGGCTCAACCACGTCGTCGGTGCCCAACACTCCCAACCCTAACAACAATCCATTGATTAATTTCAGTAAACGCCGAAAAGTGGCCGAAATTACCGGTGAAATACAACAGTACCAAAACCAACCCTACTGTCTGACAGTACAGCCAGAAATCAGGGTATGTTTTANTGATTAATTTCAGTAAACGCCGAAAAGTGGCCGAAATTACCGGTGAAATACAACAGTACCAAAACCAACCCTACTGTCTGACAGTACAGCCAGAAATCAGGGTATGTTTTACTATAATGTTTGACTCTTTTAATCCCATATTAATTGTGATTTGCATCCAATTAGCACTTCTTGGAGTCATTGAATCCATTGGGAGATCTCGACGAGAAGACACTAATGGATGATCTCTACAACAAATCATTGGATATTGAACCGAGAAATGCCAAACAATTAATTAAATACGTAAGTTTTTCATCAGCTCAAGACATCTGATTGTCTATCAAATATTTGATTGTTTTATTTGATATGATTTTGTGGATTAGCCGCGGAAATGGCCGGACCTGACACTGAAATCACCGGGAATTAAGCCGCGCGGCAGTCGTGCCAATCATCTGCCGGCACTCCAATCGCTGGACTCATTACTTAACTCTCTGTCCATATCTCAAAACGAGGACTCAATTGCCGACGACAGTCAAACCCACA